TTGGGGCGAACGGAAGCCGAACCGAGGGACCTGCCCCCCTGCCGACAACCACTTCCTACCTTGGCAGGACAAGCAATGTGCATTTTTAACCTCTAAGCCCTGCCAACCTAATAATGGCCACGCGAAGAGCGATGGCCTCAAACCAAAATGCGGACCTTGGTTCCTATCAGAGCCACAAACACTTGGGATTGGAGATTTGTTTCACTCGTTTCTTTCCGGTTCATTGCATTATATACATTGTATCGTTTTTGCTTTCAACATGATACTGCTGTCGGTAACCAGTCTAAAACAAACGAACACATATAATATATACAGGCAAAGGTTCCCGTGGGTCTTAGCTGCCAAACGTATTGTTGGCTCCCTCATGGGCACCAAGACCTGAAACCGACAAGCAAGCCTGGAAGGCTGCACGCCATGCGTAAGACATGGAGACTTCCCAGTTCGCCCCCCCTGGAAGAAGGAACATAGACCAGTCTACCTAATGAATGCACGACCATACACGACCTTTAATTGTCATGTCATGTTGTCGTCCTTTGAACCTGGAGGTTCAAATCGCTAGTAGTAACAAGTGCCACGCTAGTAGTAACAAGTGCCACGCTAGTAGTAACAAGTGCCTTACTAGTAGTAACAAAAAGCTAATAAACAGATTCATATACTTCCAGGTCTACGTGCTACGAACCGCTCTTCCGGTCGCCGGGAGCGGTCGGTCGGTCGCGAGGTGGTCTCCTTGTCGCATTTGTCGCAGCTCTTGGGTCTGGATGCCAGCAATGCCAAAGCCGCCTGTGAGAGTCGACACTGGGCCCGGAAGACCCAGCTGTGCGCCGCTGGGGTCCTGGACAGGTATGTGTTTCTGAAGTCAGGAGTGACGTCATTTATTGGTTTAGGTGTTGGGTCAATTGGTACCCTGCCTTGCAGCTGCTACATCACAGGATTTCGGCCCTCCGGCCTGAACCGTTTCAATGAACGCTCCCATTCCATTTCAGCATTGCTTTCGATCAGATGGGTGGCCCATCATTCGTTCGATGGTTCCCTTCCAGTTTCATCCTTGGACTATTTACATGTCACCACCCACTATAGTCACTAGTCACTCGCGCAACTCCTTATTTGAAAAAGTTGGGACTTTGGATATACAAGGTATTTGATCGTTGCTGGGAGACTACATCTCATATGTGTGTGTGTGCTCTCACATATGCTTAAACCTGTGCTTGTGTGTGTGTGCGCCCCGTGTGCTCTTATGTGTTGACTCACAGCTCTCATAGCTGTGCTCGCATGTGTGTGTGCTCTCACGTTTGTGCTGTCCTATGTGTGCTCACTCATACCCGTGCTCCCACATGTGTGTTCTCACATGTTTTTTGTTTATGTTCTTACATGTGTTTTTGTTAAATGTGTCTACATGTGTGTGATCTCATTTGTTTGTGCTTTTATATCCCTGCTTTCATGTGTTTGTTCTCTTATATATGTGTACTTTCACGTGCTCTCAAATGGTTGCTCTCATGTGTGTGCTCTCTCATTTGTGCTCTCCTGTGTTTGCTCTCATGTGTTTCCTCTCACATATGCTCTAGAGTGCGGAAGTTGGCTTATTTATTCGCCCTTGTTATTTCACACTGTTTGGGGTCTCTTGCCGGGATAGTGCATACCATTGCTTTGGGATTGCCTGTCTGTTGGTTCTGTTGCCATTTCCATGAAGACTGGCTGAATGAAGGCACGCATACCAGTCGAAATCTGATAGAACACACCTAGGAATCACCGCGACCACCCCCGGGTTTGACAGAGGGTACACCTGTTTAACCCACACTAAACTTGAATATCTAATTTCTCCTATTGACAGATTTCAAGACAAACTGACCAATCTTTGCCATGTTCTGGGTTCAAAGGCCTTTCAGAGAGTTGTATTAGTTTTATTATAAGTATATGTTTTATTCCTTGAAAACGTTGTTTGTTACGGATGAGTCGTCCAAGGCTCCAAGTCATTCCGTTGAAGAGATGCACAAGTTGAAGCCAAACACGTCCCCTCACCTCAACGAAGGCTGTGGACGGAGATGGCAATGTCTCGCCCGTGCCACCCAAGTCAGGCAGCGTTGGTAATTGCGTGGGCTGGGTTTGTTTCGATTGACAAGGAAAGGGGATCCAACCATAACCATTACCATCCCCATCCCCAAAACATCCCACAAGCAATGAGTTGAGTTAGGTACTCGTAGTTGCAATCTCCACACAAAATGGCACGCAGTCGCTGCCATTGGAGAGGGGCTTAGACCCATACAATATGATACAATATGTTGTTTTCATATTGGATTTTGTTGTTCCCGGGAGGTGTGCCACGCACACATACATACATACATCATACATACTGTATACATTTGTATATAACCATATATAACCCCAAATGCTTAAAACTTTCACGTTGGGTCTTCCTTTTTTCCTTCTTGGAACCTCCGGACTCAAGTTGTTTGAAGACTTTGACACGGGTGAAGACTCACTCGTGTCGCCTTGTGTCACCGCCAGGAGATGACTTGATCCAGATGGGTGAGGCTGGGAGCCCTGGGGAAGAACAAGAAATACACAAAGAGAGATTGGCTGCTGTGGACATGGGCAGGACTGACTTCAAGCTGTTGATCCAACTTACTTACGAGGTATCGGTATGAAAAACAGTGGGAGCCGGAGCCGGTCCTTGTTGCTCACCAATCAGTGGCGCAAGGAACATCCTGCATCATCCTGCCCTTTTTCTTGAGTGACTCCAAGGTGACAAGATTCAATCAAATTCGCTGGATACAAACCGAGGATCCTTGAGGATCCTTTGATAGACATTTGCAGCTGCATAATTGGGTAATGGTTCTACGGGTCGGTGCCACCGCATCCACCACGTGGCCACGAAACATCCCCCTAAAATGAATATCGACGTTTCGCAGTTATTATTACTTTATGTTATGTTCTTTTCTTTTCTTGAGGGTCCCATGGTCCAATGAGCCTTTGCAGTCCTTTGCTCGACGGATTGCTTCGATAGTAGGTACACCTCATATGATATGGTTCTACTCATTTCATTCTTCTCATCATCTCAACAATATTTACGCGAGTGATTAGCCCCATCGAGGTCACCATCCTTTGCAGCGAGGTCACCAGCACGAAAACCGCTTTGAACGAGCACGAAAGCCGCTGCAACTCCTTTTCGAGGCCCAGCTGCAACGGCTTTCCGAATACGTGGCGCAACTGGAGCAGTGCCTTGGGACTGATACTTAATGGAACCACACGTCAGCGGTGGGTATCGGGAGCACAAACAGGCAACAGAGACCCACTGGTCGTTCTGGAAAACATCCACATCCAAACCTATAGGTTTCTGGATCAAACATGTTTGTTGACAGTGAGATTGTTTGGAGTCAATTTTGCAATTATAGATGCGACCTTAGGTGAAGACCATTAGCAAGAGCCGACTTTGCTTCAAGATCTACACGTCTTCCCACCAGCTTCCCCTGGTGTGTTGATGTCCAAACTTCCTGCATCAAACCAGTTGATGATGATGTTCATTCATAGGCAGATGTGTGTAGCAAAGTAGCTTCAGGAAGTAGTGCATCCTTTGAGCAATCCCAAAACAGATACCTATCTTTGTACAATTTGATGACGTGATTTGAACATCGCGCATGATCTTCGCTGAGGTGCAAGAGCTGAGGGCGCCAGAGGGAACAAAAGAGGAACAACGCCGACTGCTGAGAGTTCCCTGAGGAGTTTGTGCAATGATGTGTGTGTGTGTTTGTTTGCGTGTTCCCTGCGCTGAACTACACCACAAAGATTCACAAAGTAGGTCAATATGTATACACGGAGTGCTTAAGAGATTGGCCGGAAGATATACATTGCAGGGTTCCTGCAACTCACTTCCATTCCAAAAGTATCTCCCAAAGTGCATCACAAGATATGAGCAAAGCTGCCATTTGTTTGTAGTCTACATAAAATACTTTAAACTTTAAACAGTTGGATGTTCCATAGTTGGATGTTAAAGGGATTGTTGTTCGAATCCCTCCTTGGATGAGCATTGATGGTCCCTTCTTTGGCTTAGCAATGTTTTCAGATACTTTGTTAGCGGCAGGGTAGCCGAACCCACCTACAACTGTCCATGGGAACATTCATGTGTCATGTAAAACCTGCATTCATTTGCAATCAGGATTGCAGACAGGAACATTCTGACAAATGGTGTTTGCACGTGCCTCAATCTTTGTGTTTTGTTTGGTTGCCCCTCTTCAGTCTGACTAGCATCGGATTTCCCGTGATTTAGCACAATTCACACTGCTTTGTGGTAGGAGCGCCTGCTTGGCGAGAACCGATGCAAATTCCACAAAACGTTGCATTCAGCAAATTCACCCAGTAATTCACCAATGTTTGCCATATGTTGTTTAAGATTGTTTAAGATTTCCTGTTGGAAAAGTATCCAGGAACTTTTATTCCAGCATGTTCCAATCAACATGTTCAACTTTAGAGTTGAACAAGAGCAAACCTGGACACTCACAGCACTTGTGCTGTGCCTGTGCTTGTTCTGTGCTGAAACTTTTCCTTTTGAGCCGCCTTCTGTGTTCTCATTATGATTGATGGTGTCCAACTGCCATTTTCGAGCTTCCGGGAGCTCAATGGCATGCCCGTGAGAACAACATGACCAGACGGAAGCGTTTTCCACGAGTCACAACCTTTGCAGCATTGCCAAGCCAAGATACTCTATATAGATTCTAGATACTCGAAAGCATATGGATTGAATTGGCAGCCTCAATCCATCAAGCAATTCCAATCCAAAATACACTACTGAAAATCATGGTTGCACGATGTTGCACGGACTTTACCAGGCAGCAGAATCCACTGTGTGTCATAAAGTTAACCAAATAAAGCTTTCGACCTACTTTCTGATCTGAAAGCAGATATTTTCACCTTGAAATAGCTTCATTGCTATATAGGCCCCTCAAGCATGTGTCACCTTCTTCTATCAGACTTGAGCCCCTGTCCGCTTTTTGCGCAGCCTTCATGCCATGGAGACCGCTACACCTCTCCCTCACAGCTGGCTCGGCGCGTGGACTTCCTTGCCAGCACCTGCCATGTGTGGCACATCGCGCGCAATGACGCAGGGCCCTTCAGCCAGCCCAGTCCTCAGTCAGTAGGTGGCTTCTCATGGTCCAGGTGCTGCTGCTCACGTCTCAAGCCCTACCAGTTTGGGGGGTCCCCAGGTTTGTATTCATTGCTTCGGGGAAGATGCCGTGCGCGCGAGTTTTTGTAGATGCAGAGACGCGCTAGGAAGCGCTAGGAATACCATCAGGCAGGTCACATCCCGGGTCAAAAGCTGGATTTTGATGGTGAACTCGGTGTCGTTGGAGGGCTACTGGTTCATATCATGCCCTATCATGCCAGCTGTGCTGAAAAAGCAAAGTCGAGTGCTCCAGATGTCCCGGGACCCAGCTCAGCAGATCGTGGTGGTAAAAGGAAGTTTATGTGGTCTATGTCACACGGAGGCAGCTGGACGCGCAGAGGACCAGCTCTCCTTGATGAACATCGTTTTTGGCTACCACTCGGCGTAGGCGTGTCGCCTTCGGGGCTGGAAGGGGTTCCTTCGGCTTGACATCCAGCCATGGCTGGATACATGTCCATGTGCGAAAGTAAGAAGCGGACTTTGCAAGTTCAGCTTTTGAGGTTTTCTCGAACAGGTGTTTTTGTTGACTCAGACCAATTGTGAGCCGTAATTATGTTTCAGCTGGTGTCCGAAAAGAATGACTACAAAAGATTCCGTTACGTGATGGGGCTGTGGTTTCAGGATGTTTCAAACATCAAGGAATGTCAAGGATGCGATTGTCCGTATGGATATGCTGATAGCTGAAGAAGTTGCTGTACTTTGCATGTTCGACTTCATACAACCCTTACTCCCTTACCCTGTATTTATACCAACAACCCGGCGGCCTCCAAAGGTGTTGGCTTAGCCGCTGCAAAGACGCGGTATGCACCGCAGCCGAGAGTGGAACGTGAGTTGATGGGACTCTCCATGCTGAACAAGGAGCGTTTGTGGTCGTTTGTGGGATCCGAACTTAGACATCACCCATCATCACCCCCACGTTTAGTTGTGCACGTAGATTGAGATGGTCGTTGTATGCGAGTGCGTAACTGAACTACTGGGGGCTTGTTTGCAAAGTTCAGGGACCGATGGGAACCGTAGGAGTTTTTGGGGATTCTCGTTGCGGGATATGTCCTTAGCGGAGCATGAAGGAAGACTTGTGTAGCAGGCAAACCCATGTCGTTGGAACAGATTCATACAAGTATGTTGGAAGCTGCGACAAATGTTGGCAATGCACGGCTACAGTATGTAGTATTTTTTGTGGACAACGTTTGGCAATGTTGCACCGTTGCCATGTTGGAGGGTGCTAGCTCATGATGCTACAACCGTTTTTCAATCAGATAATCCGTGATGTTCTACATCCCAGCCATATAAACATCATATAATCTCAATTAACTGCCAATTGTGGGGATTCTTGGTTGGTGGCCCTTCCAGTTGCCCAAGACACCGCGTCCACCGGTGCCGTTCATCGGTCTCGTCCCTCGTCGGTCTGCAGTGACCGGTCTCATGCAAAGGGCCAAGTACCCAGGCCTGACCTGTTTGGTCCATCATTTCAATGTAAACCATTCTACATCAATGTCAGTCCAAGGAAAAGTCCATCAATGCCCTGGTCACGGGGCGCCAGCCAGGATCCAGACCTTGTGGGTGAAGACTTTGAACGGCGGAAAGCTGCAGCGAAGGCATTGGCTGGAGAGGCGGACGAGCAGTTGGGCGGCATTGAAAGCAGTACCGGGGAGCCACACCCATCCCATAATTTGTCGACTACGTGCCACTCAAACCACTTGCACCAGCTCAAGTGCTCAGTAGAAGGCCTCCAGGAATGTCTATGGTCCATAAATTCAGTCAGTAACTCGAAGTAGTTTGATGAGTTTGCGTTTGCCTTTTTACGATTCGATTCTTGATGTTTGTTTGGAGGCTGTATCCTGATTAGAAAACACAAGACCTCCCGTTGGCTAGCTCTCTCCACAATGACCCCTTGCAGGGCCTACAATGTTTGCAGGTTGGCTATTTATCAATAGCAGGCATTCTCCTGCCTCAATGATGCAAGGATCTCTTTTTGGACTGGAGCTCCAACTCTTGATGTTCGATTCCATCAGCTCAACATTCATGATAGTTGAAGTTGTTCCAGAATCCTCATTCGGAGTGTACATACTCATGAATGCAAATTATCATGCACTCAAGTTGCTGAAAGATGGTCCCGCACGCGAAACGCGAACATATTCTTGGGATGGGAGCGCTCCCGAAAGAGCTGTTTGCTGTAGCGGGCCCAGCAAGCACATACTGATATTGCGAAGGAAGAAGAAAATTATTGTAGAAGTGCTTCAGCAGACACCACAACCGTTGACGAATCCAGCCGTGTGCACCAAGGTCGTGGGCCTTTTGGGAAGAGCAGAAGACCCCGACTCCTGGGCTGGGCAACAAGCCTCGGGACCGAGCCGGGGGTTCGACGTTCACGGCATGCTCTTTGGGTCATGGGTACAATGAGTGCAATAGTGCAATAGCTGTCCATGTGTCGATCTCAGACCATTCGAACCATTCAAACCTTTTGGATCTTGGACAGGACAAGGTTGCGGCAGAGCTGCCATCTCCCTTGCCCAGCTTGGAACCACCGACGCCCTTGGAAGGCGATGACACCTTGGACCAGGAGACGACTCGCGTTGACACCGTTTGGGGCCGTTGGAGGCCGTTTGGGATTACGTAGGTGTCAGACCTGAGGGGTGAAACCTCAACAATCCATGGGACTGGAAGATTTACCTATACATTGACCGTTGACCCTCGAAGCATTTTAAGACCACGCCGTACATGTTCACATGTTTGAAGGGGCATGTGACGGTATGTGTCAAGGAGTCCGGGGTGGACCTCTCACCCCTCCGTCCTTTGCCTCCCGGGAGACACCAGACAACCCCCTGTAAGCGCATCAATCAGACTGTTGCAAGTTTCTATGTTTCCCTCTATAATATAGTATACTGTTGATGTTAGATGCTTTCATATGTTTTTTAATATCTTTTATATAGCTATTGCAAGTGATGTTCCTTGTTCGCTTTTCTGGTATAAAGGGTGTCAAACACAAACAAGCCTGAAGGGCAACAACCTTGCTGGGGAGTGAGAGATGTACAGGGCCCGGACAGACAGACCGACAGACTTGACCCTGTTTTGGCCATTGTGAACTGTTGATGACGTCCTACTGTTCCAGCATAGACAGACCTATACAGTAGTTGTGCTCTTTAATATAACTGTGCCTATTATCAGTATTGTATATTTCTATATATATATATTTATATTGTATATGTTGTGCTTGTTTGTGTTCTGTTGTTGGACTTCCCGCACAACGGGCAACCGTGAGGAGACCAGCTTCAAGAAGGCGTACGGAAGTGATGCAACCATCATGGGCACCGATGGTGAGCCATTGGAGGCTGCGTTTCAGGGCGTCGTTTCGGATGAATTGAAGGAGGAACCCAAAACTGAGGAGTTTCAAAACAACTAAACCCCATCCAATGGTGAAGGAGGACCCCGGAACGCAGATCTGTCATGTCAAGCGCCTCATGACTGCGTAGAACGAAGCATGAGCGGCGCCTTCTCCTTCGGGCGATGCGTCGGATTCGCAGGTTCCGCGGCACTCGACCTTTCAAGAGGCGGTGGAGGAGTTCGGATATCCAGCCTTCTTGAAGGCAAGCGACGAAGGAGAGCGGAATGTGAAGGAAACAGGTGTCCTCGGCATCATGAACATAAGCTCCAAATCGCTCTTTGCTTAGCCCTGTTTTTCTTCCAAGATCATGTTTCGATGTTTATCTTTTGCAATCAACCCAATGGGATCGGCAAGGCCTGAAATGTTTTTGTCGCCGCAGTGATGCTTTGATCATTTGCTCATGTTTGTTGTCCATGGTTGTCCTTTCGTTCGATAGTTGGACTCCTCCATGAATTCTTGCGAAGAATATATATAAATGTATATAAATGTATAGATGTAGAGGGTGTGTTTGCGAGCAAAGCATCGATTTGTCATGAACAGTCGATTTCCTCACAGTCTCCCTCGACAAAGCCTTCAGCCGGTTGTTCAACTTTCTGCGGTCACCAAATCCGGCAATGTTCGCCTCTTTAAAGCTTGGAACAAGCTGATGGAATCACCGGATAAACTCCACAAGCTGAGAAGGCTCTTTTTAACATAAAGAACACCCCCTCCTTTTAATCTGGAGATGCTGGTACCGGGACACCGGGATACCAGGGATACCGACTAAATCCCCATGAGTCAATGAGAAGGATCTCAGAGAATAAATTCTGCACAGTATTGTGGCATATTGTGGCCAAACGTTTTTGTGACAAGGACGTTAGTATTGCTGGCAAAAGTTAGGCCAAATTAAATAAGGGAGGAATGGGGAGGTTACTTAATCTGGTCATTCCATCATAATTATATAGATTGATCATATGTGATAATGATTGATATGTGTTTTGAAGCTCGTAGCCTCCTTATGCCTGACGGCAGGACCCCTCCGGCTCCAATCGAAACTCGCGGCGGTCAGACTGCCGCTTCGGGGCCAGGCGGCGCTGGCGAGACGGGGCTTCTACTACCTCACTCCGGTGCAGCAATGCTCCTTGCCGCTCTTCCGAGGCGTCCGACGTGGACGGGGAGAGGTCTGTCGTCGTGAGAGGTCTGTCGGGGAGAGGAGGTCGGTCTTTTGCGGCACATGGTGCGCAGGTCCCATGTGACACGTGGGGAGTGCACTTCAGAGAATCATAGAAGATCAGGAAGGGCTTTGCGTTCAGTTCGGAAGTTCAAGAACATGTCCGATGCGGGATGGTTCAGATCAGAAGAGTCCAGGAGGAGGGGCTAAGACCGTGTTGAAGCAGTTTGGAAATGCACACCATTGGATTCAAGGCCTTCCGGAATGTAAGAATCTATTTGTAACTGTCAGTTTTCATTTCGTCAAGCAGTTAACACCTGTCTCCAGTTTTCTCCGGTGTTCTCCCAGCCCCTTGGACCCACGATTTGCATTGCTCTGCCTCCTGTCAGCTCCGCAGCACGCCGCTGCCACGGGGGTGTCAGGTGGACACGACTTCATGGCCTCTGCCTTCACGGGCTCTGGGAAGCATCTGGCCTTATAGCGCTACTCTCGTGGAAAACCCTCTGCTTGCAGAGGAAAATCGTCTTCCATGGGGCCATGTTCCACTTCCATGTGAGTTCCAGGGAGCGTAAAGTGGATGTTTCGCGATTCGCATCCGAATTCCTTCGATGTTCCATGGTCCAAAGATTGGCGAAGATGAGTAAACGGGGGAATATATCGGGAAGAGAAGGGCAATGGTGACCATTCCCCACCAAATAGTACGTAGTATGACTTCTCAATCCTTGACAATCTCAATGTTTATGACATTTGTGCCAATCAACCTACCAATTGAGCACAGGAAAAGGTACCATGGTACCCCCGGCGTGGATTCCGGCTTCTTGGGCTGAAGACCAAGGACGTCAGCATATTTGCTGCCGATCCTGAAGAGCCTGCACGAGGTGCCAATCTTCGGGACGCGATCCGAGAATGCTTTGAAACTTGGAGACACAATAGATGTATTGGGTGGTGGGTCGAGTTTCTAAAGATCACTCCTTTGTTTGCAATCTGACTTGGTGTTGGGTTTTGCCAAGGAGTTCCTGGAAGATCACCACAGAGTTTCAGAGTTTTGCAGAACTTTGGCTGGATGTTTGCTTGTGACAACCCCTTGCGCTGTGGTTGAGTGCCAGGTCTCAGATAGGTTTTGACTACACGGGAAAATGACGTTGACAACTTGACTGCCCTGGTTCTAGGCTCACCATAGCTCATCCAATGATTTCTCCAATCCTTATGTATTATTGGTGAATGATTGAGCAGATGTATAACTTTATACAAGTAAAAGTCACAATAAACGATGACACTAATGTGTGTATTATTTTACATGTTTTATTGTAAGGGCTCCGCCCTGGTGCCGCCGACCCCTTTTTTGTGAGACAAGGCAGCATGGCGAGGAAGGCAACAACCGAAGTTGGACATAGTGCTCCCCAGCTACTCTGCGTACTAAAGTTGTATTGCTAAGTCGCCACTTCTCATCTTCCAGCTCCACAGCTATATTCCGCGTACTAAAGTTGTACTACGCAGTCGCCAGTTCTCAGCTTCCAGCTCCACAGATTCCTCCGCGTACTAAAGTTGTACTACAAAGTCACCAGTTCTGAGCTTCCCGCTCCCCAGGTACTCCGCGTACTACAGTTGTACTACAAAGTCGCCAGTGCTCATCTCCCAGCTCCCCAGATACTCCACGCCCTCAAGTTGCACTACCCACGCGCCAGTTCTCATCTTCCCGCTCCCCAGCTACTCCGCGGACTAAAGTTATACTATACAGTCGCGAGTTCTCACCTACTACCCACTCATCAGTTCTCATCATCCCCCTCCCCAGCTACTCTGCGTACTAAAGTTGTATTGCTAAGTCGCCACTTCTCATCTTCCAGCTCCACAGCTATACTCCGCGGACTAAAGTTGTACTACGCAGTCGCCAGTTCTCAGCTTCCATCTCCACAGATTCCTCCGCGTACCAAAGTTGTACTACAAAGTCACCAGTTCTGAGCTTCCAGCTCCCCAGCTACTCCGCGTACTACAGTTGTACTACAAAGTCACCAGTGCTCATCTCCCAGCTCCCCAGATACTCCACACCTCTCGCCTGCATTTCGCCACTCGACGCGCACGGTCTCCGCAGAGGGTTGCGCAGGCATCCGCCAAATCGCACTCTCGCCTGTATTTCGCGCACTCGACATGCACGATCTCCGCAGAGGGTTGCGCGGACACCCGGCGAATCGCACTCTCGCCTGCATTTCGCGCACTCGACACGCACGATCTCCGCAGAGGGTTGCGCGGGCAGCCGGCCAATCGCACTCTCGCCTGCATTTCGCGCACTCGACACGCGCGATCTCCGCAGAGGGTTGCGTGCACAGCCGGCAAATTGCACTCTCGCCTGCCTTTCGCGCACTCGACACGCCCGATCTCCGCAGAGGGTTGCGCGCACACCCGGCAAATCGCACTCTCGCCTGCATTTCGCGCACTCGACACGCACGATCTCCGCAGAGGGTTGCGCGCGCAGCCGGCGAATCGCACTCTCGCCTGCATTTCGCGCACTCGACACGCACGATCTCCGCAGAGGGTTGCGCGCACACCGGACAAATCGCACTCTCGCCTGCATTTCGCGCACTCGACACTGTAAAGAATGTCTCCAACGTCACGGGGCGATGATGCAGCCTTGGCAATGCATGGCCTGCTACATGTGGAAGCAAGAAGATGCATTTGTCGCCAAGTACCGGCGCCCGCAGTGCACGTTTTACCGCGTGTGCGAGACGGCAAAGTTGGCTGGACAGACGGCCGCCGCGGAAACGTTCCAATATGCGTGTCCGTTTTGTGAGGTGTCTGTGACCAGCACTGTGCGCACAGGCCAAGTAGATCACCGCCGTGTGTGCGGGAAGTTGTTTCGTGTCAAAGACGGACACGTTGCCGCCAAGAACTTAGTCTATGCGTGTCCATTTTGCAATGGAACTGTGGCGAGTAACGTGAGGACAGGGCGGGTAGATCACCGAACCGTGTGCGGCAACCGATTCCATGTGAAAGAAGGCACGGTTAGCACACAGACGCGGCAGCATGAGGTGCTCGCTCCCCGGGCGCAGGAGCCGAATCGGAGAAAAGAACGCCAGATGGCGCAAAGCAAGACGGAACCGGAGGCACAAAGGCTCTCCACAGACAGCCTGCCGTCGCGCAAACGCCACATGGAACCACAACAAGACAAGCAAGCACAGCCGACGCCCACCAAGACCCAGCCCTGCACACAGACAACGCAAGTAGCACAGGCAGAGCCTGCAGCAAAGCGTGCAAAACACGTGTCGGTGAGCAGCCAAGCCAGGACAGCGCCGCCGCCACTACGAAACTCGCATGCAAAGCCGCAACAAGAGACGCAAGCCACCCCGACAGCCGCGCAGACGACACTCGCACCGCCGGCAAAGTTGGCTGGACAGACGGCCGCCGCGGAAACGTTCCAATATGCGTGTCCGTTTTGTGAGGTGTCTGTGACCAGCACTGTGCGCACAGGCCAAGTAGATCACCGCCGTGTGTGCGGGAAGTTTTTTCGTGTCAAAGACGGACACGTTGCCGCGAAGAACTTCGTCTATGCGTGTCCATTTTGCAATGGAACTGTGGCAAGTAACGTGAGGACAGGGCAGATAGATCACCGAACCGTGTGCGGCAACCAGTTCTGTGTGAAAGAAGGCACGGTTAGCGCGCAGACGCAGCAGCATCCGCACACATGCCCAGCGTGCCAGACTGTGGTCTGGTCATCACAGTTGTTTGGGCGCGTTCGGTGCCAACACAACACGCCAGCGGGAAAACCATGCCCGAAAAACACGTGGCAAGTTCAAGAGCGCAAGCACGAAACAAAGAAATAGAGTATAGACCAATCATCCGGAAGCTGCGGAGGGCAGGCCTGCTGCCGATAAGAGGGCAAGGCTGCGGTTGCGATGCAGGAGTAGGCCAAAGGCGCTGGGGCTGCAGTGCACGGGCTGCACGTTCCAGAGGCTCTCTCCCCAGGCTCCCGCCTGACGCAGAGGCAAGGCAAGGCTGCGATGCAGGAGTACGCCAAAGGCGCTGGGAAGGGTTTGAAGGCGCGCGGGGGGTTCAAAGGCGGTGCAAAGTGCCTAACGTCGCTTTTGGAAGCCCATAAGAAGAGAAGAGGCAGGCCTGCGAGCTGCCGAGAAGAGGAAGAGGGCAAGGCTGCGGTGCAGGAGTAGGCCAAAGGCGCTGGGGAGGGTTTGCAGCCGCGGGGGAGGGTTTGAAGGCGGTGCAAAATGCCTAACGTCGCTTTTGGAAGCCCATAGGAGCACGGGCTGCACGTTCCAGGGCTCTCTCCCCAGGCTCCCGCCTGACGCAGGCAAGGCTGCGATGCAGGAGTAGGCCAAAGGCGCTGGGAAGGGTTTGAAGTCGCGGGGGAGGGTTTGAAGGCGGTGCAAAATGCCTAACGTCGCTTTTGGAAGCCCATAGGAGCACGGGCTGCACGTTCCAGGGCTCTCTCCCCAGGCTCCCGCCTGACGCAGGCAAGGCTGCGCTGCAGGAGTAGGCCAAAGGCGCTGGGAAGGGTTTGCAGGCGCTGCGGAGGGCAGGCCTGCTGGCGATAAGAGGGCAAGGCTGCGGTTGCGATGCAGGAGTAGGCCAAAGGCGCTGGGGCTGCAGTCCACGGGCTGCACGTTCCAGAGGCTCTCTCCCCAGGCTCCCGCCTGACGCAGGCAAGGCTGCGATGCAGGAGTACGCCAAAGGCGCTGGGAAGGGTTTGAAGGCGCGCGGGGGGTTTAAAGGCGGTGCAAAATGCCTAACGTCGCTTTTGGAAGCCCATAAGAAGAGAAGAGGCAGGCC